ATATAGTCATATTAATATACTTTTAAAAATTCGAAATTCAACCTTGCTAAATTTCCTTAATTTTTAATTGGAAATCCGAGCAGCAAAAACCTCGAGCAGGTGTCTGATAATTTCGTTATGAATATTTGGTTCAGTTCAGAAATCTGACAAACCAGACAGATATACCTTTCTCTGTGACTTTGACATAGATTTTTGCTTCAATGTGCAAGTACGCAAAAAATGGCCAAACAAAACAAAAATGACATTAAGAACACTGTTGAATGCTCAATTTGATTCTTCTTCCTCTATTTCTTTGGCTACTTCTTTATTCATACTTTATTATTGTTGATTCCGCTTGGCGTGTATAAATGATTCAACTTCGATCGAAGGAGAGTGAGTAATTGACAAAGCATTTCTTGGCGCCTCTCCCTCGGTTCGTTCCTCCCATTACGGAAGTTCGTTGGTCGAGGTCATTGGAATCCAAGAACAGGCCCAACTTCCCCATTTCCCAGCTCCTGTTTCGGGGCTCTTTCAATTATTCTAAGTCGGTCAATGCCAGACACGCGTCAAGTTAACATTTCGATATGTATTCGTATTTGTTGGGCCCTGCCTTGGTCGCGATTTAAGCAACGCATGAGGTAATCACACATTCAGTGATATATGTACCTATATAGTTTCATGTTTCAAGGGGATTGGGATTGAGGAAAAGGTAGAGGTGTCTCCTTCTTATCGGTTCTTCTTTGCGGCGCACAGTGTCCGAATTGAACAATACGGGACGTATAAAGACACATTTTTAACTTTTGGACTCCGTTTTTTTTTTAAATATATTTTCTATCCATTGATTTCTAGATTTTTCGAACATAATATTATAGTTTTACATTTATTGGTGTATCAACTGAGTGCTTTTATAGTGGCAAATGATTTGTCAAGTACATCAGCTGTTCCGTTTTTTGCAATATGAGGTAATAATATTTAAAACTATTCTGTTCTATATATTTATGTTACAGGTTAAAATAAAAATCAGGTTGTTCTATATCTTGTAAACAAACTGTTATACTGTGCCCCTATTGTTAAGAAATTATTTATTTATACGTCTTAGATTCAGGATTTGGGCCACTGTGCGGCGGGTGACGCATTATTCCTGGGTCTGAAAACGCCGATCGGGTCGTTGCCTGCGGCAAACCAAAACCAATTGCAGTAAATCTGTCAATTGCCTGCACACAATCACTTGATATCCAAAGAAGTCGGGAAAGAGGCGGCTGAGTGAAACATTGTTCAATATAAATTATGGCCACAAAGTCCGGAAAAGATTAAGCCAAAGCTGCGAGAAAGACGAAGGAACCCGCATGGCAACTTTATACGATGAGTAAAAATAAGAGAGGGCTGAGAAAAACATTATTTACTTTATTTAACAGCTTTTAATATCTTTAAATAAATATTTTAGAATTTTCTGGCAATAATTATGAAAGGCACTTCTTTAAAACAATCGCAGATCCTTATATTTATTACATTTTTACCTTAATTTTGTTAAAAATTTGTACTAAGATACGACTTTAATGAACAGACTACGGGTTTCATCATGTGGAGAAATGAATTGTGGCAGCCATTCTGCATAAAATATTTATCTTTATGGAGACATTTTGATTACTTCTGCTCGACTAATTGGCAGCTTGGACAAAGGCAAATTAGTTTCCAGTGTGTGTGTTGAGTACAAGTTATGAGCTCAGCTCTTGGATGATGACAACATTTGACCATGGGGCCAAGTGGGGTATAAGAAGTTAATGGAATTTAGTTTTGTCATTAAAGCTATTTGAATATTGCAAATTTCAACGTAAGCGGACCAAATTTATATTCCAGATGCTTGTCGGACGCAAGCAGCGATTTATATTCCAGCAATAAACATTTGCTGATTTCGGGAAAATAATGATGATTTGTCAGTGAATGTACACATTTGAGATTTATGAAAAGCATATGTTTGAAGAGTTATCTTAACCCTGTAATCAAATTGCAAATACGTTTTTTTAAATTGTTTTGCTATCATTTTAACTTTAGTGACCTTTATCCATTTTAGCTTTGTATTTATTTTTATTCCGTTAAATAACTTTTTCAGAAACATTATCAACAAAATACATTTTTAAATTATGTAATTATTTATCAATCCTAAGAATGACAAATGTTAAGGGGTAACAATGCAGTTGTGATTTCTTTATCAACTGAACCTTTGTTATTGTTCACAATAACAAATAAATATTTTTTCTTTCAATTACGGATAAGTTGCCTGAAGCAGTTGTAATTTATTTGTTATTCAATTTTAAACCAAGAAAATCGTCTTCTTTTATGTAAAGTAAAGTGATCCACAATTGCAATTGTTGCAACAGACCACATCGAGTGTCATTCAGGGAAGACTTTCATTTTCATTAGACAGGGCTGAAACTGGTTTACCCCACTCCTTTTCCTTTATGTCCACTTGTCCAATGTAAGTGACGTAAGTGAAAAAATGTGGAAAACCATGGGTGAGACGCCCTTGGGCCTAGTGCATCAATCAGTTGCTCCAATAAAGAAAAGCATGGACAAATTGTCTGGCAGAGAAAGACGAGTTGGAGAAAAATAAATGTGAAATGAAGATTGAGAGGGCCTGTGGAGAAAATGTCAAGTGCAGTCCGTTTTGGTTGCTAAGCCGACGAGCGCAAACACGAACAAACCAATTCCAAGTACGTATGGGGAGGCATTACTCATACGACGCACTGTCACCCCCCTGGACCCTCCATGAAAACCCCCCCTCTGCAGTCCACGGCCCTGTGCCGGCTATTTTTAATATCCAAGCCACATAATTCATTGTAATTTGCCTTTTGCTGCCACAGTCTGCCCTTTTTTACATTTTCCAGTTGCATTTCGTTGGGGAAGCAAAAAAAAAAAAACGATCGTTCAGAAATAAGGGGAATGAGCAAAAGGCAGGGGATCTCAGGGGGTTGCAGGCACTTGACTGGCTCCTCGTCACACGCAAATGCGCAATCTGCCAAGAATATAATATACACATATCTTTTGTATCTGCTGTATCCGCTATATCTGTATCTACACATGTTTCATTTGCCTTGACTTTGGTCTCTCTTTAATCTCTTAGCATTTGCTCAATGTACAAACAACTGAAAAAGATCCCCTTTTTTAATGCATTTCTCTAGTTTAATCAATCGGTTTAGCAGCGGCACATGCAAAATCCCCAAAAAATGAGTCATCTACTAAACTTTTTCTATGGCAAACAAATTAGTCATCAGTTTAAGGGGGCACCAATAAAAAAAAAACTGTCACCAAATTGTAGCTCGAAAAAAGTTGGCCAATGAGTTAGTTTTGAAATACTCTAACAACAAACGGCGATAATTACGATTTTAATTTACAACTGGTGATGAAAGCTTTTTATGGTTTAATAAACAGATAAAAACTCAACAATAATCAAAGAAAAATTAATGCAATTTGTAATGTATTGTTTAAAACTGAAACTCAATGAATACATATTTAAAATTACAAGTTGTTTTTAATTTATTCAACAAAATTCAAATCATTAATGAAATGTGATCAATCAACTGTTATAACATTTAACATAATTCATGGGAATTAAATTCAGGATTTCAAACCAGACAAAATGCTCGAATTGATTTTAATAATAACATTGAGGTGTGTTTAAATAACAGATTACATCTAGACATTTAAGTTAGTTTAAATTACATATGTACATACAAATAATTTAATAAATCGGAATTATTTTATTCAATTTAGTACAATCATAGCAGCCATTTCTTTTCAGAACTTTCTCAGTGTATGGCAATTGAGTAAACGGTTGTACGCTTTAAAACGAACTTAATTAAAGCGACCTTTTGTGTCACGCTCGAGTTGTTGTTACTGTTGTTGTGAGCCACCGCCCCCACATAACCAAGCCGATCCCCAACCCCCTTTCTCCACACCCTTCCCATCATTTCCCGAAAAAAGAATAAACCGTTCGTTTTATGTGCAAACATTCCATGACTAATTTCATTGATGAATTTTCATTAAATAAATTTTTATAATGAGGTTTACCCACTATTTCTCTTTTTCTCTTTTATATCTTCGCCGTATTTTTATTTTTTCTACGCTTCCCGCCTCAGCAAGCAATTTCAGCAAATGGATGTAGCAAATTTGCAAACAAACAAAACTAAAAAAAAACTATGTAAAAGAGCCAACAACAAATGATTTGAGTGGCGAAATTATTTCTTGTGACCGAAAGAGACGGCGTAATACAATGAGAAAGAGAAGGCGGCGCGTGTTGGCACTTTAGTGGCTCGAAACAAAGCTGAAACTAGCCCTAAATGATAATATTTTCAAGGGAGCAGGGTACCAGGGGACTACCAGGCCATTGGGCATTCTCAAAACTTGTTCAAACAGCCTTTATGCGTTCTAAATATAGCCGAATGCAAAGCAAAGGCAAACCTCGACTCTGTCCATAAATAACTTTCGGGACCGTCTTTGACTTAATTGATTAAGAACCCCGTACAAAAGTAGACAGAGCGGCAGCGTTTTGAGTATAATCGTGTAAATATTTGATCAGCCCAATACTATTTGAGATAAGAACGAATGCCAGGTCCGTAAATGTGGAAAAGCAAAGTCACAAGTTTTTGTGAATGAATTTGAAGAGGAAAATGGAAAAACCGATAAGATAGCAGCTAAATACATTCACCGATTGAACTAAATACTTTTGTTTTCAGAAAAAGAACATTGTAAGATAAACATGCAAGTCAGTTGGTTTGAATTGGTTATTCTGAAGACGCAGAAATTAAATTTTTAATTCTATGTGATAAATTTCGTTAAAATGTTTCATAATGGCATTGAACTTTTTTTAAATTGATTAAGAAACTGATCTTAATATAAAAAAAAAATTAAACGTTCTTATAAATGTATATAAGTTACCCATGATCTAAATTTTATATCCCCTAATAAATTATGTTCATATGGTAAAGCTTTTTAATATGTTGTATGTTTTTCTAGTGACTCACCTTTCAGTCTCGGATTCTGCATTTGGTTGCTGTTGTAGCTGTTGGATTTGCTGCTGCGTTGCTGCTGCTGTCGATGTGGCTCCTGTTGCTGCTGCAGCTCCGGTTGCAACTGCGGCTGCAGCTGCAGCGGCGTTTGCGGCGGTCGCCTGATCTTCGGTCAAGGTTAGCGCGTTTGACAATGCCTCGGCGGTGGCCACAACATTCGCATTCGTTAGGTTAAGATTACTATTATTGGCACTAGCACTCGCGATATTTGTTGGCGGAATCTGTTGCTGTTGCTGCTGAGTCTGCTGCTGTTGTTGCTCCTCCTGCTGTTGCTGCTGCTGCTGCTGTGGCACCATCAATTGCTGTGGATCGGCAATTGTCGAAGGAGCACTCTGCAATTGCAGCGTGGGAATTGCCGGCGAGGCAGTCACCGATGTTGCTGCCGTGACTGATGCTGCAGCTGCTGCTCCTAGATTGGGCTGCTGCTGCTGCTCGTAGCTGGTCATGTGTGATAACAGCGGCAATGTCTGACCCTGGCCAGTGGTCACCGTTGCATTGGAAGTGTTTGAAGTCTGTTGTGGTGGTGCTGCAGCAACTGCAGATGTTGCTGCTGCTGGGGTTTGCTGTGGGTTTGATTGCAGTGGGGTCTGCTGCTGCTGCTGTTGGTTAAATGGCTGTGAGACTATCCCGTCAATCTGCGATGTTGCTTGTTGCTGCTGATGCTGTTGCTCCAATTGGAAGTTTGGCGCCTGCCCGGCAGCAACAGCTGCGAATGTGGGCGTGGCCTGGGGCGTGAGTGGTGCCGGCGACAGCGGCTGCTGCTGTTGCTCCACATAGCTGGTGCTGAGCTGCGACTCGCCAGCTGCCGCTCCACCGCTGTTGTTGTTGTTGGCCGCCCCGCCAGCAACATCGCCGCCGTTCTGGTAATTTTGATAACCCCCTGGCGGCACGTCCATGGCCTCCTCGCGCTGCTTCAGCTGCTGCAGCGTTTGGTGCAACTGCATGGCCGCTGTTCGAGCATAGTCCAAGTTGTTGGGGTCACCGGGCGGGTTGGGTGAACTGGCATTGGCATTGACGCTGTCGAAGAGTTGCTGTTGTTGCTGCTGGGCCTCCATGTGAAGCTGATGCATCCCGTGCACCACTGTAGCGGGGGCCGTCATCACCCCACTGGGCGTGGCACTTATCTGAGCCTGTTGCTGCTGCTGCTGCGAGGATTGCTGCTGGGATTGCGACAGCTGCTGCGACTGTTGCTGCTGCTGTTGCTCGGCATAGTTCCAATTGGCATCGGTCGAGTTGGCCTCCAGATGATTCTCGTTCAGCTTCTGGGTGGGCGGCAGAATCATACTCTGGGTGGTCTTGTGCGGCAGGGCCTCCGACCCACCGGCAACACCTGCTGCACCGTCAGCCGTGGCTGCGTGCGCATCGGAAGTAGAAGAGCCAGTCTTTTCGTTGTTATTACCACCATTACCCACACTCGAGTGGTCCAGGTAATCCATGCACATCCAGCGACCCCGCTTGAACGGCTCCGTGGACTCGATTTTGACCACCTTGAACCGCTCGCTGCGATGCTGCGTCTCCTTGATGTCGTCCTTCTTCTTGGTGCCCCCCGGTGTGACGGCACCACTCACCACGTTGATGATGTTATCCGACACGTTCACCTGCACATTCTGGATCGTCTGGCCCAGCGACGGACCAATGGGATCCACCACCACGAGGCCGTATTGCGAGCTAGTCGGTATCACCGGCGCATTCGTGCTGAGGGCATTGTTGGCATAGTACACCTCCTCCTTGGAGAACGTGTCCTCGGACATCGAGGGCGTCTCGTTCTCCAGGTCCGTTATCCGACTATTGTCATCCGTGTGAGATTCGTCCAGATCATCGGCCGACTCGTCTCCAGTATCGCCGGCAGCATTCAGCTTGGGATGGCCCACCGTCACCGAGGTGATTTCGAATGAGGAAGTCGTCTTTGGTTTGCGATTGGTGGCACCTCCAGTGGCCCCCGAGGAGCCCCCGCCACCCCCACCCGCAGCAGCCCCACCGGCGACGGTCAACGAGGCGTGTCCTTGGCTGAGGCTAGTCTGATGCTGATGCTGCTGCTGGTGGTTGTGATGCTGGTGGTGGTGATGGTGATGATGGTGGTGATGTGGCTGATGGTGATGGCTGCCTGCTGCTGCCGCTGGAGCTGCAGTTGCAGTTGCTCCGCCCACCGAACGTGCCCCATTATTGTTGGGGGAACTGGCCTTGGTGTAACCGCTGTTGTTGCTGCCTCCACTGCTGCTGCTGTTGCTGCTGCTTACCGGCTGCTGTTGCTGCGGGGTCGAGTTGCTGCCACCACTGCTACTGCTGGATTTGGGGGCCAGCGATGTGGAGGTGGACGTGGCCAGGCTCGAGTTGCTACTGGCTCTGGACACCGATGTGGCTGCCGCTGCTGCCACACGACTCAGCGAGTTTAGACGCAAACTTTCGCTGGTCGTGCGCTGCAAAGCCGAGTTGCTGCCGGCATTGTTGCTGTTCTGATAGATGTTGCTGGGGGGATAGCACGGAGCAAAGTGATGGTTGCTGGTCAGGGAGTTCACCTTGGTCAGCTTGCGTATGTTGCCGCCAGTGCCGCCCACGCTGACCCCTCGGGCCGGTGTCAGCATGGAGTTCCTGCGTCCCGGATTGTTGCCGGTTCCGGCATTTGAAGCGGCCGGCTTGAACTTGGCATTCACCGTGCGATCGAACATGTTGCTGATGCTGCTGCGCTGCTGCTGCGGAGTGTTGCTGCTTGTGGCTGCAACTGTTGCTGCTGCTGTTGCTACTGTGGCTGCTGCTGATGATGATTGGCGTCGCACCAAGGGCAGTGCTTCCTGTGAGTTTTCCGGCGATGAGGCCTGCGAGTTAGTGGGCGACTGGTTAGCTAAGCTCGATGTGGCTGAAGCGGCGGTGACTGATGTGGCGGCTAGTGGTTGCTGATGTTGGTGGTGTTGCTGTTGCTGCTGCTGCTGTTGGTGACCGGAATCTTCGCTGGCCGCACTTTGATTCTCGGCCATAATCGAATTAGATTTCAGCGTGCGCAAAGTCTTTAGCAAATAATCCAGGATTGCTGACGATTCTTGGATTATTTGGGCCACGGAAAAAGTTACGATACACCCTCGGTTGTCACAACTACGGGTAATTATTTATTATTGACTGTTTATATATTTATTTGCGTTCTGTCAGTTGTGTTAGCTGCTGTTCGCCCGCCAATTTGAATGCGATTTTTGCACTGGCCAGCCGACGACGCCGATGCATAATAGCGGTTAGCGTTGCGTTGTCAGGTGCCACCGACTGCCAACTGATCCGATCTGATCCGTAACCGTCCGTACTATAATGTTCCGTTCCGATCCGATCCGAGGACTAGCGACGATCGCGACGCGACGCGACGCAATTTGAACCGAGCGACGATGGGTAATGCGAAACTCTTGTTATTTATTATTTTTTTGTTGGGGAGTTGATTTTGTTATGCTAATAAATTGAAATTTATTTATTTATCCGACTGCCTTTTGGGGGGTGGTTTTGTGTTGTGGGGTTTGGTGGGCGGTTATAATTTGCCTTTCCGCGTTTTATTAGCTGCAGCATCAACATCAACAACAACAACACTGGTCACAGGCGGCAGGGACAGCGCCATCTAGCGTTTGACTTTGTTTAGCGGGCGTTTCAATTTTCGCCACTAACAATGTGACACACACACACTAAACACTCACGTACACGCACACGCGCGCGCCCCCTCACACACACAGGTGCATGTGGACAGCACAGCTGTTAATCGAATCAATTCGACTTGATTCGATTCGAAATGGTTTGCAGTTGATTTGTTTTTGAAAATAACTTCTTTTGATGTGTTTTAGAACTTGCTATCACACTTAAAATATTTCTTAAAAACTATGAAAATATTTTGGTGATTTTGGTTAACTAGGGATTTAATTTAGGCTTCACGTTGATCTATTAATTGTATTCATGTATTTGTTGCACTTTTCTTCTTCGTCGTCACACGCTTACGCATAGGTTTTCAATTTGTTGTTTTTATTTTTAAATTTCTTTCGTTGAATTAATCAATTTCTTCGGTTTAGTTTTACTAGCACATTGCAGTAAATTGTAGAAATGAAATTCCTGTGAAATAGCAGAGCAGAACAAGAACGACAATAAGAATTAAATTCATTAACATGGTTGGCCGGAAAGCAAGATATACGAAATTCGATCAAAAATAAACATAAATATTTTTTTTCTATTATTTGTTTATTAAATTAAATGCACACGAAACGAAGCCGGCCACAAAGATCGAGGGACAGAGAGGCGCAGAAAAAAGTAAATAATTGCACTGAACAACGCGACGCACATATACGGTGGCTTGCAGCTTAATTGACTCAACACATAATACCAAATTTAAGCTGGCTTAACTATGAAACGAAAGGTTTTAACCTTCACAAAAGGTAAAATCTCAGAAAAATCAAATACTACTACTACCTCATATGGTTTATCCATCAATATCTTATTTTATTGGTAAGCTTTTCTCCCAAACTATAAATCTTTTTGTATTACCCTATCTAACTAGATTTTAATAGGCCATTTATAAAAAAAGTTTTTTGTTAAAGATATCCTAACATCTCAAACGAGCAATCCATCAGAGTCTTAAAAAAAACAATTATCTTATGGGCCTGAAGCTAGACCCAACCTTCTGTTTTTTTATATGATTTTCTATAAGTATCTAGTTAAATTTCATACTGCGTAGTTCATGTTCGTTTATTATCATCACGACGATGTTGATGATGCTTTTGTGTGCTTTTCATTATTTTTTGTGTAGCCTCCTTTTTATTATTGATTTCATTGAGTTGTCTGTATTGTGGGTACGTCGTAGTTTTGTTGAATTAGTTAAGTGCTACATTAGAGAAAGAAGGTTTGGGGAAGGGGTTTCCTTCCGAGCCAATGAAAAAACCGATTGTTTATTTTTAATAACTTTTCTCCCTCTTATTTATTTTTGCATTTGCAATTGAGTATTTAAATATTTATTTTCTTTCGGCATTGATTTTTTTCGACTCACTCATTATTTAATCGATTTCGTTTACGGAAATCAGAAATGAGCACGCCAACCAAAGAGAAAGAGATAAAAAAGCAGCCACAAAAATTATTTGCAAAAAAAGTTGCCGAAAAAGTTTTGCAAACATTTTTGGGCACACGCGCGGTTTTTTGCCGCACTTGTGTTGGTTAATAACCGTAAGCTTTGACGATCATTCATAAATTGCGTGGACTGGTTAGAAAAGAGTGTGCTTGTATGTGCTAGTACAGTGGTCACTAAATGTTGAATTTAAAATTTTTAAATATTGAATAATATAATGTCATTTTATTGCTTTTAAATATTGATTATAAAATGGGGACAACTTTATCTTCATCTATAAAAAGCTATGTAGTATATTTTCGGATAATTAATATTAATATTAAATATTATTTTGGAGTGATTACTGTAGTTGCGTTTGAACTCTGCGTGTGCCCTGCCAGAAGGCAAAGTCAAGACCTTGACGGTGCTCTTTTATTCTCTCTCTCGCTTAATTTTGTTTTATTTCTTTTTGCCTAATCGAGTTATAAACGACGTAAAAAAATCTGATTATTTCGTGGCTAAAAGTGGAATAAGTTGAAAAGCAGAGAAAAACAACAAAATCATCAAACCAGAAGAACAACCGTACAACAACAAAAAATCTGTTATAGGTCAACATTGGTCGTAGCACTCTGTCAAGGTGTTTTTTTCTGTGGGATCTTAAAGAGTATATTGGCCTTGTTCTTGAGCCACACAGGTGTTAAGCGAAGCTTCTACTTGATCTTGCGATTATTTGGAGATCATTTGGGGGAACAAAGGACTGAAAATTGAACATCAAACAGTTGTAAATGCACGCAAGATTTATTATAAATAGGAACCATGTCGTAATATATCTTACTAAATATTTCCTAGTCTTTTAAGCTAATAAATTGACAAAAAAAAACACCTCGATTTATTAATATAACTAGACTGTGGATCCGATATTGTTAATCTGTTTCAAAAAAAATGAAAATAATTTTACAAATATAATAAAACATAAAGAAATCTTTCCTTCGCTCTAAAAAAATATATTTAGAGAATGTCATTTAAAATTCTGGTCACCCTCCACATAACCCTTGATCAAAACTAAATCAATCAAGTCTTAATTCCACCAATGTACACAGCCAAAGAAAAGAAGGCCCCACCTATTCAGGACTATTAAGGAGTCGATTCTTATAACTCAACTTCTGGACAATAAACTTGGGGTCCCCCTTTAACCCTTGGCAGACGATAATCAAAGTACTGCTGTAGGCACCAGATTTCACACACAATCAAATCGGCGAATGAGGAGATGGAAATGGAAGGAGGATTTCTGCCTCTCTCCTTCTCACTGCCTGCCTCAATAGCAAAAACAACAAGGTGATGGAGAAAGGAAAATGAGAACTAAGAGTGCAGACAAGAAACAAGCAACAGAAGAAGAACTAATTGCAACGACAAAGCATAAAATCGATGGGAAGCCAACAACAATAATAAAAACAACAAATGTAATGAAAAGCAACTACAACAGATAGTACTGAAAGAGAGGCAGAGAGAGAGCAAGCGAGTGCGCGTTAAGCAAATTGCAATCAGAGAGGACGAGCTCCAAAAGAGCGAGAGAGCCTGTTGGCACCCCTGCTCCTTCTTCTTTCTTCAAACGTGGGCGCCTACAAGTGGGCGGGGCGGGACGAGGGCCGCATACCAAACAAACCGCAAAAGGAGAGCGGCGGGTCCTCTCTCATTTCCTTTCTCTCGCTCTCATTCTCGCGGACAGCTGCCGGTAATCAATATTGATGATGATAGCAGCGCAGCAGCAGCCGAAGAAGGCGAAGAGAGAAATGGAAAGATGTCCTGATTGTTCGAAGTGCACCGAAAGAGAATCAGACAAATTTAAAAATACGCTTAACAATATAAAAAATAATTTGATCACATAACGAGGAGCATTCTTTCATCCAGTTATACTTAAAAAACCAATCATTTATGTGTATGAAGAGTAACGAAGAATTTCAAAAGAATCTGGATATTTTGAAAACAATTAAAGGATTTTTAGATTCCTTAAATAAAAAAAATGTAAAACTACGGTCGAAAACTTCCTTAGCTTGAATCCTCAAGATTTTTTCTATATTTCAAAATTCGACGTAGCGCTATTGTCGAATGCCTTTACTATCAGATACTTGTTACTGTTTTCTAAATTCAAAATAATTATGCCTCTAGCGGATGGGGTTTTTTAAATTTAAGGGCCATTTTTTAAAAAAACTTTATCAACATTAGTCTGCATGTTAAGTCCTAACCTCTAGCTCTTATTGTTTTCGTTGATCATGATCAAGAATAAATAAACATATGGGGCCATTAACACTCTCCCTGTTTTGCATGTTACTTTTTATTCATAAGACATACCCTATTAGGGTGCCATCCACACTGCAGTCGATTGAGGTAGGGGTAACTAGTGATTTCAAAATTGGAGTAAGTAGAGTTTCGACGGTTTTTGCTGTAACTTTTAGGGAATAATCGAATATTTAGGACATTGTTGTCCTATTGGTCGGCCATATTATGATACTATCCCCACTCGCACAGCTGTTTCAAGCAACATTCAAAATGGCGGAAAAATATGGCTGACTTTTTTTTTACCAACCGTATGAAAATCAAAACAAAGAACAGCTGTTCGTAGTTCCAGGTATTGCTTCGATAGATAACTCGATAGGAAACTGGTAAATACCGGTTAAATTAAAAAAAATGCTTCTGCCATAAACAATTTTTTAAATAACTAAAAATGCTGGGCTTATCATAGCTGAAATGAAGTGATATAATTTACTGACCTGTATTTTTACCAACCAAAACTCAATTAACAGATACAAAAATAATAAAAAATATATAAAAAATCGTTACGTTTTCAGAAGAACCCATTTCCTTATATTTTTCCACCCACAGGGACTTTCCACCTTTTCTCCTTTTCTTTTCGCAAGGAAATGATTCACAATGCAAAAAAAAGGGGAAAGGAAAAGAAAAACGAAGGCGTTGTAGTAGGAAGTAAAAGAACCCGAACGGGAAATAGGGAGCGAGAGAGACCGAGAGAAGGCAATGAAAATGTTTATCAAACGAGAAAAGAGCAGCGAAAGGGATGCCGAGGAAGATGAGGAAGAAGTGGCGGCTGCAAAAGCAACAACAAGTCAGAGATTACAATGAAAATGCATCCACGAGATACTCAGAAACAATTTAAAATCAAATAAAATTTCCCAATAGAATTGAGTCGCAGAACAAAAAATTATTCTACAATAATCAAACGAAATTATACCTAAAAGTAACGAAAATGGATATAGCACAAAGAGTTTTTGAGGTAAATAATATAAAAAATCTAAATTTGATTCGATAATTTTAATACTTAAAAAATACGTAACAACAAAAAAATTGTTAGCAACATTGTCTTTAAAAAACAGATTTTAAATTTGTTTTGCTTTTATTTAAATAAAATTAAGGAGAGGCTCATTCTGAAATCTCAAAATAAGCTATACTTACTTTTTAATTAATATTTGTTTAATTTAAATAAATTTGTATTTTAAGCAATACAAAGGATGTTTTTAAATAGTAAACCTTCAAATAATAAACACAGTACACGGGAGAATGAAATGTTTGGTAGACGTGACTGCACGCATGTGTTGTAAATCCCTCTAAAAAACACAGCTCATTTCTTTAAACTTAAATGCAACCTGATACAAATTAGCCTCTCAAAACTCAAATAAATTTTATGAAAAAAATTAGTATCCACATATTTAAATGTCTAAAACGAATAGGATTACTAAACACAAACTTATAAAATCAAGGGTAAGCAGGAAGCTCGGCAAGAAAACCAAAGAAAACCGATCTGTCCTGAGGTTTGTTGTTTCGCTTTGAAATCGGAGATGCTATGGGAGGGATGATCACAATGATCTTCAAGGTGATATATGTAGGTAAGTTCAAGGGCAAAAAAAGCTAATCAGATTTATCGATGGTGGGAGTTGCAACAAAGAAGGTTCTTATATGGTATATGAGATTTTGAAATGTTATTTTTTTTTTACCAAAAACAAACTGTTGATCCAGAAACAAACAAGAATAAGTATTTCTTTGTTGCTTAAACTAAATATAATACAAACAAATTAAAAGAAGGACGCTTTTTATTTTTTGTATTATATTTTCTACGTTACTCTATAAAGAATAATATATACACAAATAATGTTGCTTAATAATTATGCATTGCATCAAGACAAAAATAAGTTTACAGAGGTGTAAGCTTATTGAAACAACTTTCTTTACAAATCCACTCTTCAATTTCATAGTACCGTTATTTAATATCTCTCCATATTTTTTAAACACTTGTGTGCAATACGAGTTACCGTTAAACTAAGCACAACTCACAATGTTGTACTCCAATTTCTGTAGAAAATCACAAAAATACCCCATAATATCGGATGTCAAATAAGCAGAAAATTGCAAAATGCCACAAAAACAAAACTAACACTTGACTAAACAATCAAGGCGAAGCAGAACAGAAAATAAACAACAATGCCGGACCAGCTGACATTATAAACAAAAGCAAATGTCAAAAAATACTAAAAAAAACATAAGAAGCAAAAACTGGAGTTAATCAATTGCTTGGCCAGCTGTTTTGGAGAAATAAGAATGAAAAGGGGATATGGGAAAATCAAAGGTACAAAGTGCAAACTGCAACAACAAAAACCGAAAGTAATGAAAATGAAACAACAAAAAGGATGGGCACACACACATTCAAACAATTACGCGAAGTTTTTGCACTTTTGTTTCCTTGAATTTCTATAAATTTTTCTTCATTTAAATCATGTTTAGTTTTGCTTCCTTTTCTTTTTGCTTATTTTCTGATCGATTTGTTGCACTGTGCGGCGGCGGTGATTTTTTCGTTTTCCCTCTCTATCCTCTGACTTTTTCTTCTTTTTGTTATAACACTTACACGACAAACGAATTAAAAGTACTACGTTTCGTGGTATAAAATTATAAACTAAAAACAAACGAACGACCACAATTTAAATTTGGATGGGATTTTAGTTTTTCGTTGCGTTTTGCTAATCGGACAAAAGGAAGGTAAATGACAGTTTTGACAGTTGGCTGGCATAAGCAAAAAAGCGGAGAGCGAGAGAGCCGGAGAGGAAAAGCAAGAGAGAGAGAGAGTGGGAGAGTAAGGGAGAGAGGCATTAAATAAACGAAAAGCGTGCATGAAAGATTGGCAAAAAAAAGTTTTGTGCAAAAAAAAAACGAAACGCCGAACTAAGGAAAGCAAACAATCGAATTCAACAATTTTTTGCACATTTTAACGCAAGGGATTTTTTCTTCTTAGTTTTCCTGGCAAAGGCGGCTCACACCCACACATACACAAACTAATCTCCCGCTCTCTCTGTCTCTTCAATTTGCAGAGAGTCGGCAATCAAAAAAATGTTGTTTGCCCGTCTCTCCGCTTGTCACTTTACTTTTTGCAGCTATTTTATTTGGCTTTTTGCAAATATATTTATTTTTCAGCACATATAAATTTTCCATCAGTGCCTTTTGTGCTCCGTTTTCTTATTCAATTTACACGCACACAGCCGCAGCACACACACATACACATCATCTGCATGCCAGCTCGCTCACACACACAGCGAACGCACACGTCACACTCACACACTTACACGCACGCACATACACAGTTTTTTCTTCGATTTTGCGCTGGCCTCTCAGCCTTTTTTCGCTTTTTTCTCGACGATTTGAGAGCGCCGCGAGTCTTGCGATTTTGCAATAAATTCGAACTTATTGCAAAATTCTTTTGATTTGCGATTTGCGGTCTTCGCTCGCTATTATCAATAACAAAACGAAAATTCTTTCACCTTGAAATTTTTACGGCAGCCCAGCGACTGGCCTTTTGCAACACTTTTGACGCGTTTATTTCCAGCACTGGCCGATAAAGGCGACTGCATTCGATAGTTTCGCCAACTATCGATTAAATACCAAAAATACCAGACTGTGTTGGGCATCAGTGCTGGAAAGCGATCACAAAACAAGCCGTTAGCGGCAATTTTAAAATTCATTGTGCTTATTAAGGGTTCTAATATTATAAATTTTGTGTGGAAAATATATTTTCATTAAATAGTTTGTCATCAAAGCGAGCTAAATAAATGTACACTTGATTTCTAGACTTATTTCTTAATAATTTCTTATTAATTTACATGTATAAAATTTAATATGCTAAGCACGCCGTGAAATTATAAAAAAAAAAAAGGACTTTGGAATACGAAAGAAGGCAATGATGAGTTGACATTGTATTGTTATTTTTTATTTCATTAAAGTTTATTGTCATTATATAATTTTGATTAAATGTTTGCCTAGAAACCACCCCACGGAGACCGCTATTGATATGAAAACCATCGCAAAATCATTGCGCATATCGATAGCAAAAGTGAGGGTCGATAAATATCTTGAATTCAAAAATAAAAACGGTTTTATAATTGGATTTTATAAACAAATAGAGTTAATTAATCAGTAATTGATGTAAGAAATCACAAAATCAGGTAAGCAAAATTCAAATCTTCTATATCATATAGAAAATAAAAGTGTTTTGTTGTTTTTTTTCGAAGACTGTTGCGTTTCTACAAAGTGAACGAAAGGGATGCGAAATGGGAATCATACAAAAAGGGAGACCAACTTCACTGGAAAACGAAACTTTCATTTTTGGAAATATTGTTTTTAATTGCTAAGTTTTCCGAACTCGCCCCCCTGTGACAGACCAGGGTTGCCAGCCTTACTACCCCCAGCATACTGGCGTTGCCATATTTATCTAACAGTGTCTCAACACATATCTGCTGTCAACCGCCTAGATGGCGCTATTGTAATTACAAATATCATTTTGAATTTGAACTACGCCCAATTGCACGCAATGTATTTTATAAGTTCAAAAAATTCGAATGCCCAAAAGTATGCAATTCCATAGTACCGCTCGAAAGTATGCAATTTTTGCAGGCCATTCGATTGTTTTTGTTTAAGAGCAAAATCGTATTTTTATTGTATTATTCTATTAACATAGTTGCGCCTGAGTGCTTTAAATATCACCTTTTATTATTAAAAATTTAATTTATATATTTATTTTTAGGACTAATAGAATTAATAACAATACACACTCTTAAAATTTTGTATTCATACAATTGGTTACAAATACATTTTTTTAGGTGCAGTTCGATTTCCTGATTGAGAAAATGACATCAACATTTATGCCTATTTTATTTTTTTCTCGAGTTATGGTAAGCCGATTTTAGTGATTTACATAAATGTCACTTTAAAAAATAAATGCATAAAAACCGATGATGAAATTTCAAACAACACAACCATTTAAAAAAAAAATTCTTTTATTAATATATAAATATATATATATATATATTTCTGAGGGAAAATGGTGTACCAAAAAAAGAAGGATTTAGGATTTACATGTAAATAATAAATAAATGGAATAAATCAAACTAACTCACAGCCAAAAAAAAAATTGTAAATTGGTCAATTATTATTATTATTTCGTTAATTTCGCGTATGTTTGTTGAAGAACTACTATAAGAAGGCAGAAAGTTCTCTTTTATATTTTTCTGTTGGGCGACTACACCTTCAATTTCAATATCCAATTAAATTTTTCTGGTAAGGTAGTTGCAGTTCACTGAGGCGTTCCGATTTGCTTGCCAATTTTTCTGTGGCTCATGGATGTCAAAGCGGAAAGAAATCACGCTAATGATCGACGCACCCTCCACCGGTTGAAACTTAGCGCAGGAGCTTTGTATGTACATATATATACGTACATACTGACCACTTCGTCTGCGATGGAACGTGTCCGGGATTAGAATTAATTCCTCTGGCCCGCCCCGCCCACTTCCACCCACCGATTGCAGGCGACGCCCTCGCTTTCGGACAACGTCTCATTTAAATTGCAGCAGGCAGGAAAAAACACTGGGCAAACAGACGCCTTGAGGTCCAGTCTCCCCCAAAAACTCCCCTTTTTGCGCCATGCAAAGGTTTCGCCGGACATGTTTTGTGCGTAATTAGTGCAGACCGATGCATGCACCCTCGTTAAATGCCAAGGTCCTGCGATCCAGTCAAGCGTGCTCCTCACCGACCCGCTCCCATTCGATTTCTCTGCTTCTCAGCCGCTCAGCCTTTCGGGCATTTTCGCTTTTCTTTAACAATTTCCATTTGATTGCATTCCGAACGGAGGAAAATGCCTGCTCGGGAATTCATTAGGGTGACCAACGTCGGCTTAACTGTCATTTCCATAAGACGCCCATTTGGTCAGGCATACACAGAGCGAAAAAGTACACAGTGAGTTAAATGCACACAAAAAAATAAATCTCAAAATTAAATATATTTACTTGTAAATTCAGCTAAGCGTGAATTACAGTGTTTTAATTTTATATAGAATACGTATTAATTTAATAAATGTACATATGTAGATTGATTTAAAATGTTTAAATGATGGTTTGAAGCATTTTAAAAATGGAGCATTTCAAAATATTTCCGATCAGTCGACTATAGGAACAAAATGTTTAAATGATTTATTACTTTTTGACTGTGGATTTATTTTTCCCTTGTTTAAATTCCTATTTTTGGTAAAAAAAAAACCTAATCTCAATTTTTAAATATAAATAAATTAAATAATTGTTATTAAAATCAATGTGTTATAAAAATATAATGTCCCACCATGATCCGAAATAAAACTAAATTTTTTAATTTTTTCTTATACTTTAAATACAGTTTTTTAATAAACATATTATTTATTTATACGATTTTTTAAATGGAAGTTATGAAGGAAGTTATAAAAGTTTTTCCATAACATTTAAAACCGAAAATATTTATTTTCTATTTAAGAGTATCTCTTAATTTCAGATTATTTTTTTTAGGTGTAGTTTGAGCTAAAGAAGAAGAAACGGGAGCCTATACCCAAACTTCCCCGAATAACACGCACTTCCCCACCGCATATGCAAAACTTTTCCGTTTCATTTGAATTTCTTCACTTACGTATTCCACATCTTGCTCTTCGCCGGCTTTCTCCTCATTTCGTTGCCCGTAATTATGAAGATGAATGTCCTTATTGCTTTTATATCCCTTTTGCGTGTGTGTGTGTGAAAGTGTTTTCAGTGTGTGCGGTTGAGTTTAGCCGCCGACATTCTCTATTAATAATGCTTTCAGTCACACTCTGCATACACGTTCGTTTGAATTTGTTGCCATTCGGACTGTAGGCATTTTTTTGGATACCGAACAGTGGAAAATTTGAAAGGAAATCTGGAACATTTCAGGAGTAAGTGTAATTTAAAACAAACAATTAAACAATAAACAATAAACAATTTTATTTATGACCGGGTTTGGTTAAAGACTAAATTTTGAGCTAATAATATTATTTTTTATCTCCTAACTTCTAAAGTCACTGGTTTTTAAGACTTTTTCCCTCAATCAGATTTTTAGTGGCTGTTAATAACTACGATAATTCTCAAGATTAAATTCTTCGGATATATTTTTATGATTTATATTTACAATTGTTGCTAGGAACTTAAAACAATATTATTTCTTTAAGCTGTTTGGTTTACCAAAATAAAAACAACTCTAAATGGGTGTCATAAAAGTCTTCAGTTATTTAAAATCACTTGAAACTTTTACAATATTAAAAAAATAATAAAGCAATGTCGTAAGCTTCTTAAGTGAATTTAAAATTGATAGAGACATTTGTGGTCGGCCGATAAGATCGAAATGCTTTTACCTTTCATTTATATAAAAACAAATAAGAAAACTATACCGTATAACGTATACCGCTGAAAACATCGCACCCAGTTTCAAATAATTTGTTATCTTTTATATAGTAAAAGCGCTATGAGTGATTTAACATTTGTATAACTTCATAAATATTGTTGCACAATTTATTTTTGACCACTGTGCCCCAAGAGCAGCGCGTGCAACGTGCGACGCCTGCTCGCCTCCCACGCATCTCGTTTCTTTTCGTTTCGGAGACGGCCACCGCAATAATAAAGGAAAATCCGACAGGATGCTAATGCGTATTTAGTTATTTAGTTTGTGTGTGTG